CCTGAAGAGAGAGAAATCACAGTCTTTCAACCGAGAGATCGGGTGAGGGAGTCTGTTACGCGAAGGGAAGGTGTTAGCATTCCACATGCCCGTAGTACTCTACGGTATCCACTCGTGTTGTTCTAATCTAAGAGTGTGTAAGAATCTATATCTAAGCTTAAAACTGAAAAGGGAATGTATACAAAGAAAATGCGGGGAAAAGAAAGAAATATTTACAAAGATATGCTCGATTAGGCCCCACAAAAGTCTCTGCCTACGTATCCCTTTTAAGGAATCGTCATTTATCATAGATTACATACGAACCAAAATTACCATGCATCAACGAGTTATCCTTAATATATGAAGAATTCTTAACAACATCGTCTCTATGAATATACTTCCTACCTCGCAACTCCCACTTGGAACGACCATGCTGAAAAGTTCGCCCCATCGGCCCTCCCACAGCTCTGTCTGAAAATCGATTGTTAATGCCATTAAAACCCGCAAAACGGCCACTTGCGCCATAACCCCTGCCATCTCTGCGATCAAACTTATCATCATGTTTAACCCTTATCTCCGGCCACCTCCCACGCGACCCACCTGCATAAAAGTCGCCAGCAAAGCCTCTCATGAAGAGACTGTTGTTTCGATCAAACCTATTATGTCCTATTAAGCGGAACCGAAATTTTTTCCTTCGACGACCACCCACCACTGTTCAATTCCCCTGATTGTGCTACCCTAACTGAAACCCCATCCCCCGACTCTAACCGTCGCCATGACTTTCACCAGTTACCACCGTGAGATAACAATTTGTGCTATTTACCCTAGCGTAATGAAACACTTTTTATGTAGCTATTATTTATTAAATAACTCTAATAATTTTTGAAAAATAATTTTATAAAATATCTTCCCAACTTACATGGACATTTAGCTATTTAAACCTAATAATAATATGGATATAATATTAAATTTTATTTAAATAGTCTAGCCTATTCTACCTCTAGTTAGCATTATTCCCAACAAGTGTACCTCTTATTAGTGGAACACACGTCTCTTACAGATATCAAACAAACAAGCAAACTATTTTATTTATTTATTTTTATAATAATAATAATATTTCTCTTTTGACTAAGTTTTGTTGTTTATATATTTTCGTTTATATATACATATAATTGTGTTTTTATTATACTCCTCATATTTTTAACTATAAAACTATTTTTACTTTTTCTTGTTTTTTTATATAATTTTTTTAAACCCGACATGTATTCGAATTTCTTTATAAAATTATTAATATTTAAAATATCTTGGAAAATATTTTTTTATAATATCAAAAATTAAAAATAAATATAGAAAAATAACACAATTTTTTATGTAATATAATTTTTTACATATTCCTTAACAAACTTACACCTACCATTTTTTTAATTTTCGTAAAATATTGCCTATAATTTAATAATAATAAACAAAGTGAACATAATATATTATTTTAAGAATTGAAAACAAACATCAAACACCTTTCTGAAATGCCATGACACAAGAGTAGAGTTACTGAATGCGTGCACAATCTTCTTCCACTTCACCTCAAAGCAATAATATTATTTTTTAGATATCATATAATAAATAGTTTCATTTAAGAATCTTTGTTATTTAAAATTATCAATATTATTATCAAATTTAAAAAACTGTATTATTACAGATAAATTTATACAAAACACATGTCGACCAAACCCTTTAGAATTTCCTCACGTCCTATTGTTAAATTTGATTATTTTTTTTTTAAATAATTACTTTTTAAAAAAAAAATCTCAAATAATCACTTTTTCAAAAAATTTATCAAAATAATCACTTTTCACATAAAAAAATTTCGCCACACAGAGGAGTAACCACTATGTGTGGCGCATGCATTCATTTTTAAGAGGAGGCACCACACTGCATGGCATGTTCTTCTATAAAGTCATACAATATGACGCATGCATGTGTTTTTAGAAAGGAGTCGCATGCATTGCATGGCTTTATCTCTTAGATATTATGATTTGTTTAGTTGTTTTGTCTATTTATCATGTTGTTGTATTGTTGTCCTGAGTATGTGGTGTTGTAATTTTTTGTGTCATGATGTGAAAGTTGTTGTAATCGAATGATAAATTGAACACGAAATGATAACTCGAATTTAAATTGAAATATATTGCGTACAACAAATTAAACACTCTGAATAGTTTGCTATGAAAAAGTTAGGTTGCAGAGCTAGACCCAATATTCAGACAATTTTTCCGATTGTGTCCGGGAAGACGACATGTACTGCATAATCTTATCATTTTGTTGACCGTATCCATTTCAGTTCTAATAAGAGTGCTTTTCGGGTGCCCCTTTTTCTTCCGTCGCATTTGTTCATTGTGTCAAACAATGTCCCCTTGATAAGCAGACCAGTAATCCTTCTTTGCCAACACGGAGAAGGTATTGATGTACACACTTAAAACGCTCTTTATCGTGTACACGGGGGATATATGTTGTATTGGGTCCAAGCGAACATGCGAACATGCCGCTATGATATGAGAGCAAGGCATGCGAAATGCTTGAAACTTTCTGCAATCACACCAACCTCTATCTAGTCCGACCCGATAATATCCCCTTGGCTTCCCCTCATTATGATCCATTATCTCTTGTACACTGAACCAACCTTTAATACGGTCAAACACGGTGACACTATAGGTGTTTGCTTTCGCAACCTCCTCGTTAAATGTTTCCATCGTGCATTTACTGAACAACTGCCCTGATTGTAACACTACCCTCCATTTTGAACTTCTTGTGTTAAACAATGATCTCATCCTGAAATATGTTGCTCTAACCAAAGCGGTAATTGGTAGGTTTCAGATGCCGTTGAATACATAGTTCAATGATTCCACCAGATTTGTTGTCATGTGGCCCCATCGTTGACCATTGTCAAATGCCCGAGTCCACTTCTCCACTGGAATGTTATCGATCCACCTTAATGCTTATGAGTTTGCCAACTGGATTTCTTCGCGATAGTATCGAAATGACGGTTTTGTTAAGGCATACCCTACATTAATAACTTTCTTTCAAAGTGTCTTGTCTTTGATATGGAGCATGAAGTTTTGTGTGATATGTCTAATGCAATAGACATGTGTCGAAGGGGGATCCTGCCAACCGTTATCAGGGTTATTGTATGCATTCACAATCAATGGATGTCTGTCTGAAATCAACCAAAGGTTGGGTTGAGGAGCAACGTTTAATCGGAGATTCTTCAGAAAGATATTCCATGCACCACCTGTCTCACCTTCAACTAGAGCGAAGGCAGTCGGAAAAACATTACTGTTCTCATCTTGTGCCACTGCCATGAGTAATATTCCTTTATACTTCCCGTATAACCAAGTTCCATCAATCTGTATAATAGGTTTGCAAAATGTAAAACCCGTGATGCATGGTTCAAACGCCCAGAACAACCGATGAAATATTCCATTTCCACTAACACGAGTCCTGTCTGGGGTAAAAGTCGGAAGTGTCTCCAAAATTATAACAGTTCCCGGAGCATAATATTTAAGTGTCACCAAAAATCTTGGAAGTTCTTTGTACGATTCCTCCTAATTACCGTACACAAGTTCAACTGCCTTAGTCCTCCTGATTCATGCCTTCCTGTAAGAGGGAGTATAATTGAATCTCGTAGTGATATGAGAAATAATTGTACTCACCTTTAATGATGGATCCTTGCTAATAAGAGACAAGATTTCTTGACATATTAGTTGAGAACTAAGTTTCCGATGATCCTGTGTCGGAACGGTGGTGATGCAAGTGTGAAGTGGATCAATGGAACCTATTTCCCATGAATCACTTCTCTTCCTGTAAGATGCAGTTAACCGAAAAGGGCAAATTGGTTTTTGACGACATAAAATAACGTATCTCCCTGAATTATTTTTATCTACAGTGAAGTCAGCTAAAATTTCCTTGTGGTATTTTTTGATAGCTCTAAGACACTCTTCTTTTGTTCGAAATTTGTCTCCAACTTATGTCATATTGGGACCCGCTTAAGTTGATGGGACGTCCAAAAAAAATGTATTCATGCTTTGTGTAATATTAAATATTAATATAAAATATTTTTAATTATTTTTATTTTATTTAAAAAAAATTGCAATAACACTGTCAAGCCAAGGAGGGTGGCGACTCCTCTCTAAAAACACATGCATGTGCCACACTGTATGGCTTTACAGAGGAGAACAAGTCATGCAGTGTGGCGCCTCTTCCTAAAAATGAATGCATACGTCACACAGAGTAGTTACTCCTCTGTGTTGCAAAAAAAAATTATTTGAAAAACGTGGTTATTTGAAGAAAAAAAATCGTTAAATTTTCTTAAAGAATTTATAAATACTTTTTCCCATAGTCAATTTCTCATAAATGAAAAATGAAAAAGTATTTGGTAAAACGGACCTTGTTGGTTGGATATGTCCGTTTTACTCGTAGTTTAGTGTATGGCTGACTTAGTCCTCATTCTTTAATGTGAATGTCCCGTCACATTTTGTTTTTTTTGTGAACTTTTGCATAAATAAATATTAACATAAAATTTTGCATTTTTAAACTTAAAAAGTATAGTATCCACATACTTTCTCTATCTCACACTCTTTTTTTTTTGCTGGACATACATATATTTTAGACCCTAATCCCCAACTATATTCACCCCCACTCGCCTCATTTTTTCATAAGTTTTTCCACAATAAATTTAAACGCACAGACATACCCGTTTACCGTCCCTGTCAAAATCTAACATCTACAAACAAACATTATAACATTTTCTTAGAATACTAAATTCATAAATAAATAAATAAATTTAAAGAATTAAAATATCCCAAAAATTAAAAAACACTATATAAAAAGAAACAAAAACAAAAAAACTCTACCAGAAAATCACAATACAAATTTCTTTCATCTATACAAATAGAACAAAAACAAAGAAATCAAAACTACAAATATTTTTAATTCCTATATACATAAACATAATAAAATAAAATAATTGATCATCTCAAGAGAGGAATTTTATTACTACAGAAATTTCCATTATCTTCAACTCTTCTAGAATCTTCTTCTTCAAATTCTTCATCTTCACCGCACTCATACATCGATCGCACAAGAAAGAGTTGATCCTCCAGATATCTATGCAACAATCCCTTCTCCTCAATTTCCTCATCATAGCAACATCCTTCCTCGCACCGCCGAAGCCGGTCGCCGGAGTCTTCGCCGGTGAAGCGATTAAGGATTTTCCTCCAGAGACGGCGTCGGAGGCAAATTTCCGTGATGCACAGTAACGGGGACGTGACGAGAAGGAAGACGAGGAGAAACGGGGAGCATAGGAGGAAGAAGAGGAAACGGATCCGACGGTTTCGAAGCCATGAGATCGCGGAGTAGACGACGGAGGTTAACGTGAAAGGCGGAGGAGAGATTGCGGTGGCGATGCGGTTGTCGTGTGGGGGGTTATAGGGTTGGAGGAGTGAAGAGAAAACGGCGTCGTTTGGTGGTTTTGGTGGTGGTGGATTTGTGCCACCGCGTGGGTGAGTTAGTTTGTTGTGCATAAGCTTTTGTTGGCATGTGATGTTGACTGTGTTTGCTTTGCTTTGTGAGTTGTTATCTTTTGGAAAATTAAAATTCAACTTCTATTTAAGATTTAAAAACTGTTTTTCAGTTTATTTATCACTAAGATTGGGCTTTTTTGGGTTAGGTGTTCTTTGTACTAAAGAACTAAGATTGGGCTCTTGTAAGGTTTAACAAATTTACAAAAATGAATATTCTTTTTTGTTTACTAATCTCCAAAATTTTAATGTGGGATATTTTTTTGGGTGTTTTTTTTAATGGAAGAGTTTTTTTTTTTCAGTGCAGATGTTATATAAATAATTAGGATCTATTTTTTTCCTTTCTATTTCATTTTTTTTTGTTTTTAAAATTTCCAAAACAGACAAAAAATACTTACCTATAATTTTACTTTGAATAAAAAATACAAAAGACTATATTTTGTTGTCAAACTCATTATGTATATTAGGAAGGATTACTTTTACAATATACTTATCATATTTATCAATTTTTTAAAGGATTTTAAATTCAAAAAGATTTTTTTAGTAGTTAAGTGACCCAAATTCATTTAATTAATAAATAAAATGTCAGCGGTTTAAATTCGTACTTCTTAATATGATATCAACTGAACTATTTTAACGAAATAAATTTAAAAATATATTTTACTTCAAAATAAAAAGAATATATTTTTTCAAAATAAATAAAATTTTTAAAATAATTGATTTTATTAATAAAAATTATAATTGTGCAATCCTTTTTTGATTTTTGTCTTCTATTTTTATATAAATTAATAAATGACTCGTGCATTCGCACGGGTCACGCAAAATCAATATAGATATTATAGTTATAGTTAAAAAATATTTAAAAAAAATTTCATTGTCATATATATATATATATATATATATATATATATATATATATATATATATATATATATATATATATATATATATATATTATCTACCAGTGCATTCGTATGAGTCACACAATATCACTATAAATAGTAAATGAATATAGTTTAATAAATGTCGACTCGTTAGAAATATATATTGTAGTAGAAAAAAAAAATTAAGTAGTCATTTACCCGTGCACTGGCATGGATAACACAATATCGTTATAAATAACAAATAAATATAATATTGTGATGGTTAATATTTTGACCCAAAAATCTCATCACAATATATATATATATATATATATATATATATATATATATATATATATGAATAACAAAATACTGAAATACTGAAAAACATAATTTATATATTTCACGTATTTAAAAATTATAATAAATTTAATAGATAGGAAGACCTTATTTTCATATTTCTAATATCAAATTAATTTATGAACAACAACCACAAAAAATTTACGCACATAACACATAAGTAAAATCATAATTAAACAATTACTAAAAAAAAATTATGATTAAGTCTAAAAAATCCTATTGTTGAATATAAAAAAAGGAAAATAATGTGTTTAAGTATCATATAATCATTTAATTTAATAATTTAAATAAAAAAGAAAAACTTTTTTATATATAAATACACAAATTTGTATGATATGATATTATAGTAACAATAACGCAAATTTAAGAGAAAAAATATTTGATCTAATCTAAAATTTAGAAAGATTCAATTACGTTCGCACGGTCTCACAAAATCGATATAAATATTAAATAAATATTATATAATTATGATTAACAATTATATATAAAAATATATATGAATAAAGAGAGTAAAAAATTGCATTAAAATATAGTTGATAAATAAGAAATATATATAATTTTATGATGATTAAGAAATATATATAAAAAATATAAAAATTTAAAAGAAGAAAATGTTTGAAATTATAATTATCATAAATATTAATATATTTAATAAATTTTAAGTAAAGATCAATAAATTTAATAGCTTTATTTTTCAAAAATATTAAATTAAAATATAATATAAAATATTAGAGTGTCTCGGCCCTGTCAAAAATAATTATTTTACATGTATATTTCATAAAGCGAATCTATATTTAATAGTCAATAAATTTAATAAAATTATTTAAATAAATATTCTTAATAATAAATTATAATATCATGTATACTAAATATTCTTAATAGAATAAATAAATATTCTTAATAATATGTGTAACTTTTAATATGCATGCATATTAAGTTATTGCGGTCATAGTTATTACCAATTTCCACTTTTAAATTGAATTGATAAATTTATCAATCTTTATCAAAAAATATTAAATATATAATAAAATGTATTGAATGAATTTATATAATTCAAAGAAATATCATAATTAAGAATACTCATTCATTCGTAAATACATATATGAATTAAAAAATTTAATAACCTTAAAGTGTGAAATTTATTTATATTAATATGTATATGAATTAAATTTTTTAAGATAATATAATATTTTTTTTAAATAAAATTGTAGTAGAACATGTCTCTAAAGTTATTCATGAATATTAATTATTATAAACACTTGTAATATTGTCACATATGTTTTTTTTTTTAAAATGGTCAATAAATTTAACTTGTTTTTTATTATTTATTGTTTTTTCAAAAATAAATTTGAATACTATTACGTGTAATTTTAATTTTTGTATTTCAACTCAAATTAAAATATATAAAAAAATATTAAGTTATTTTTTTATATTATTGATACTTTAAAATCATTTATAAATATGATTTTTAAAAATATTATATTAATAGTCAAGTTTTTTTTTATAAATTGAGTGAAGTATAATTTTTTATATTAATATGTATAAAAGAATTAAATTTCCTAAGATAATCTTTTTATTAACAAAATCGATTCCATCTTTGAATTTATTTGATAATATAAAATTATTAAATACTAAAACCAAGAATTTCACAAAAAGAATATTTTTAATATAAATAGAATATATTTATATTATATTAATGGTAAAGAAAAGTAGATAAAAAGTATATAATTGAAAAAATAAATAAAAATATGCTAATCCGTGCTTGTGATAAGAATATTAATTAATTGTATAATATAGAATTATTTTATTATGTTTTACAGAAAAATTGTGGTAATTCAAATAAATATGACCTTAATAAATTAGATAGATATGTATTTATTTGAATTATTTTTAAAAAATTAGGAAGAATGATGTTTAGATATATATTGGGAAAATGTTGTATTGCAATTTTTTATAGAAAAAATAAAATATAATTTTATGTGATATATTATAAGTTTTTTTTTGGAGCAAAAACAATATTTTATTAACCAAATACAGTTTAAGTACAACTGATCCGAAGATCCAAGAATCTAAATGGCCCTCAATTAAGTAAGCTCCGTTATATGGCTACTTAATATCCTGTGTTTACTACATCTAGTTCTGACGACATGCTTAATTCTATCACCAATATTCCCCTCCAAGTGTTTACCATTAAAAGTAAAATTATTTCTATCCTGCCATAACTCATATATGGTCTCTGTAAAAGCCATTTTCAACATCAACCCACATGGCTTATTCCGTCTAGTTCTTCCTAAAATCCACTTAGTTTCTTGAGCCCACTCAAGAGGGCAATGACTGGTGTGCTTCCAATTTAAGATTTCCAGCCAAACATTCTTTGTGTGCATACATTCGAAGAAGAGGTACTGAATTGTTTCTTCCTCCATACAGTAGGCACAGCTGCTGTCATCAACAAATCCAAGTTTCTTCAATCTACTCTTAGTGGGAATCTTTTTCCATAAGGCCATCCAAAGGAAGAAGTTGGCTTTGGGCCTGGCATAATTGTCAAACCACAGTTTCTTCCAATTAACATGGGGGACATTGCCACGCAGCGCCTTGTACATCCGGACTGTGTTGTATTTCCCGTTCGCAACCGCATCCTGCCAATACTCATTCCTACTAATGATGTCTCTATGCTTGAGAATACACATCACAATTCAAGAACTTGTATTTGAACCTTGCCACTCTAGAATATTACACCCCTTGAAATAAAACGTATCCAACCATCTAATCCATAACCTGTCCGCCTTCATGTGAATATTCCAAAGAAGCTTCCCTAACGAGGCTTGACTCCAAATAGACAGATTGTAGATGTTCAAACCCCCAGCCACTTTAGGTTGGCACACTGAGTCCCACACTATTGGGGCCTTCCTACTGATAACGTCAATTCCGCTCCACAAAAAACTACGACAGATTGAATCAATACGCTGCAGCACTTGTTTGGGAAGTGACAACACTTGCAGCCAATAAGCAGAAATATCAAATATAACACTTTTTATTAATTGACATCTACCAGCATAGCTCAAGAGGTGCGAGGTCCAGTGATATATTATAAGTTAATAATAAATAAAATAACTTTATTAAAAAAAATTTAAAAATTTATTAAAATTAAAGTTAAGATAAAATAAATATAATCTTATATACCATAATTAAAAACATGCATGTATTAAACATAATTAAAGATAATTATTGAATTTAATTGTAGTAAATAATTTTTTATTTTAAAAAAAATTCTACTTTTAGAATGATTAAAATATATAAAAATATAAACAGATAAATAAGCAAAATTAATTGATCTATTTAATAAAATAGATGTGATATGGCATGGACTCTATTTGATTGATATAGTGAACTACAATGACTTATGAAATTGATGAGAAAATGATAAGAAAATTATATTAATATTGTTGCATTACATAAACTAAATAATTTTATGATTACAAATATTCATGAATTGACATTCTCTTTAATGCTCTATCTTATAAATAGACTTCATATCTTTCCGTCTAAAAATGACTTAAAACATAATCAAAATTATTAAGTCCCTCCAAAAATTACTTAAAACATAATCAAAATTATCAAACTTAATGTAAAATTATCAAAACTAAAATCCTGCATTTGATAAAAAAGATTAGATTCAATACACTAAAAAAAGGAAATAGTCAACTGCTACTATGATAAACTTGTATTAAAATGTTCTACCATTACTAATCTTGCAGAAAACGAATCATTATCATTATTATG